ATGATGATGATGATGATGATGATGATGATGATGATGATGATGATGATAGGTATAGGAAGGTCATAGCAGGACTACCCACATGTGCAAGCTTGAGCTTTACAGGCCTGCGCATGTTTCTGCAGAAGCTTGAGCTTCTCTTCCTGTTCCTCGGGACCCCGTCAGGTCTGAAGCACAGAAGCGGATCAACCACCCCAACTGATCAGCATATGATTGTATTAGATGGTATAGATATTTAGCTATATACCCTGGGAGTCAAAGACAAAAAGAGTGGTCTTTAGGTGACCCGAAAAGGAATGTCCTTTACTTCAATCGGTCAAAATATAGTATTTGGACTTCTATAGGGTTATGTATATATATAATATGTGTGTGCGTGTGTGTGTGTGTGTGTGTGTGTTATTTTTAGTTACATGGAGCGGCTCGAGCGTTTGGGGATTGAAAGGCTTCGCCTTTTGGGGGAACTGACGGGAACTGATCAACCAAACGGCCAGATGGGTGCGTAGAGTGCCCTTCTCGGATTTGAAGGGCCCATCCTTGGGCCTACAGCAACAGAAAGCCAGGTTGAAATAATGCGTTTCACTGACTCCACTTGTGCCTGGGGCAGGCAATCTCTCAATCAGAAGCTCAAAAATCTCAAGTCGTTCCTAAAGTGCGTGGCATCTCGAACCACCCACCCCGCCCAGCCCTGCACAAAGGTCACGATGCTTCTCTCAGAAAGTGCGACACCCCCCCCAAAAAAAGGCTTCCCCCTGCCAAGTTGCACGGCCGTGTTCTCGTGCCTTGCGTGTTTCTTCTGCCTGTGCACTCGCCTGCAGCTCCTCCTCCTTCCGCTGCATCTGCCGGCGGCGGCGCCTAAAGATGGTGAAACCCATCATGTTGTTCCCCATCATCACCGACCCCTCAATGACTCATGTTAACCAAGTCTGACTCAGTCATGCAGTCATGATGTCTAGCATCAGTGAAGAGCGGTGACCCTATCGCACCTGCTTCAGTGAGCGAAATCATAAATTTGTTGTATACAACAATCGATGGATTTCTGGTGTGTGCCACCTGTTTTCCAGGTCAGGCCAAACTGCATGTCTGCCTGGAGATGTTTCGAACTAGCACTCGTCTCGACTCGTCTCTGGAGATCGCACTCGACCCTCAACGGTTAGATGGTCGAAGGAAAACGTGAAAGTCATGAACGTCTGGGAAGAAACACATCCAACAGCAACCAAACATTTGATGCATTGGCTCATGGAATTAAAACATTATAAGTTATAAGGTTTATAATGAAACATAATGCATTATAAAGGTGTGCGTGTGTGTGTGTGTGTGTGTGTGTGTGTGCCATGTTCCCTTGAGAAGGGCTCCCCAAATCATCGCCATCCAAACACATTCACGACCTCCCCAGTTCCGGCTCTCCTCGCATCAACGCCACGCCACCCCCCTACCGGCAGAGGTTGAAGAACCCTATACAATCCTATAGACTATCCTATATAGGTACCCCGGGTCCTATAAGGTCACTTAACCTCTGTAGGTACCCCGCCAATCCGATCCCAAGAAGCTTCTCACTCTCTTGGCGCTTCATCCTCTGCTCATGCTGTTGCTGCTGCTCCTGGCGTCTCATAGAGGCCTCACGATCTGCTTCCACTCGCACGAAGTCACGCGAGCAAGGCACGGAGAGATGGATTCTGGATTGAGAGCGTCGGCACTCGGATGAAGGCATGGATCCGGCAAACTGCGGAGTCTTGCGAAACGATCGGGTGCCACCGGGTGCTGATGAACCGGCCTCTTCTTGTTCGCGAAGCCGCTCTAACCTCAGAGTTGGTCGGTGCACCTAAAATCTCGTGGAGAAAGCTTGATGCTCAAATCATGTTGTTAGTGACATGGATGGTCCCACTGCCCCCACACATGTTAGTTTTTCTCGCTGCCTCAAACAAAAATCAACAAACTGTCCGATTCAAATCAATCTGGCTTTTCCTTCCGATCTCAAACTGCACTGAAACAAACAGCCCTTCCACGCACTGCTAGTGGATTTTTACACAACTATACATTCAACAAAAACATATATAAAGGATCAGCCATCCAAAAAGTTCTCCAAATAAAGGACCTGGTTTTGAAATCACAAGCATCTTCCAGCACCCTCACAGGTGGGGTGCTAAATGGGTGTGAACATTGGTATTCTTTGTGAGTGACCGGTTGTCACAAGTCGGGTGCTGGTCGATCTTCTGTGGGTTTAGATTGATTGAGCAGCTTGGTAGCTCCGACCCAAGCTGCTTGGTTTGCTTCTGTAAACGTGCCGCCGGCACTTTGCATGCCATCACCCACTTGCGGTGATGGAAACTATCATCCGCCCATCATGAAAGCCAACAACTCCTTGTGGCGTCCTCTCGACCAATTGGGAAAGCGCCGACCGCATGCGACAGACTTGCACAATCCAAACTCCGAACTGCTCTGTGATCGGACTGCGTGGCAGATTGCAATACTGCGGAGAAGCGGACCTAACGGCCGATCTGCTTCAAACGCCATGAAGATTGGCACGTCATGAGCCATTGACCACCATGGATTCGGACTTCGCGTCAGTCGGATGGGCAAGGCTTCATGATGCTTCATGATATGAACTGTGACTGCGTCGCCCAAGGGCCAGTTAAGCACTCAGCGGCCACATGTGAATCATTGTGAATCTTTTCGCGCCTGACACTGTTGCTCACATGGATCATGCTTCAATGGTTGTGGAGTCCCTCTTTGCAAGTTGGAGTCAGAGATAGATACAAGATGTGAACAGCCATGCCAATACCGTGGTTTTTTTTTTGGTTCACCCTTGGCCCAGGAAATGGTGAAGAGGCGTGAATGAGCAGCGGCAAAATTGACAAGGCAATGAGCGTCCAAGACCTATATGATACTCAGCAAAGTGCTCTTGGCCTCTGCCCTCCAAAACTGTTGCACCACAAATAACTGCCTAGTAGCTCGAATTGGTTTATACTAAAAACTAAAAAACATTCGAAACTCATAACCAAATCTTGCAAACAAGCACTTGTTTAGTCTCCCGGTGCCGCGTTGCTGATACCCCGCCTAGTGAAGAGTAAATGGCCCCACTCAGTTTGTGCAACAAAAGTGGCGCAACTCAATACATCCACGCCATCGGTTTTGAAATGATTATGGGCATGTGTGTATATATATATATTTATACAATACATAGCCTCTTGGAAGACTACTTTCCTTTACAAACAGTGGGTTTTCCACTTCCATGTTAGTGAGTTGGAGTGTAGATCTGTCTTGCCCCCCCTTCCCATGTAACTTGCCGCTCCAATTCTTCGCGTCCTTCGCTCTCTTCTCATTCCAAGCAGCCTTTCCCGCTCCCTGACCTCTCCTTAGCTTCACTGGGTTTTCGGACGAACCAACGTCATCCAAAAGGTCGCACAGGTCGACAGGGAGAGTCCAACATCTTGACGCGAAAGGGTGGCCTTCTGCAGCAGGAATTCTTTGGAACACAAACGAAGCACGGGAGAATCAACCTATCACAAACGAACTCCGAACTTTGGAGTCTTTCTTTGCAATCCTGGATGGTTTTGCAATGTTTTGCCATGTCTTGGGCAAGTGACAGCGGGGCGTTTAGAATCGTTTAGAGCCACACGGTCGGAACTGGTCCCGCAGAAGTCTCTGGAAAAATCGGTCTGCCTCTTGTCGCCCAAGACTTAGCCACTCTTCAAACAATCATTTCCCTGCAGCTTCAGTCGTACCTTCTGAGAAGGTGTGGCTGGGGTGGGTTTGGAGCGTCCAAATACCTTCTGACGAGGTACTTGGAGCCCTAGGGCTTCATGGAAATCGAAATCGAAGTAATTATATGAGAAATGATGTTCCCTGCAAGGAGCTCTGCAGAGGGGCAGTTCACTCGCCGCCGCCTTACTATTATCAACCACATCCCCAGAAAGGATGGATTCCTCCATCCAATAGTATATTTCCCCACGACAGTCCCGCATGAAGCAGCACGCCCAACGGTTGACGCGACGAGGCGGAAAAAAGTAACTAAAACGTCCGCCGAGAAAAACTCGGAAAAGTCCAAGGGTCTGATCCTCTGCCTCGTGCGTGCGATGACATCCAAGCCCCTGCCCGAGCTCACCGTGTGACCATCGCTGCAGGTGTGACCATTGCTGCTGGTGTCCGCAGCGAGCTCCTGCGCTTTTTGTCCGAGCAAAAGATTCTTATATAATTCCCAAAGCTCTAAAATTTTAAAAGTCCCTGGGCCTCGAACTTGGCGATCCTGCACTTACATCCCCTTATGTATGAAGTCCTCCCCAAAGCAGCTAAGAACAAGGGGTTTGGAGGATGTTGCTCCCCTCGATGAAGCTAAACAGCTGTACAGTGAGTGAGGAGGGAGCACCCTATGTAAAAATATCCACATGATAACTTGCCAAAGACAAAGGTTAAGGCAAGGAAGTTTGCCAGTGGTTCTTCAGCATTTCCACGAGAGAAGCCCTTCCACGAGTAGGTTCCCCAGTTTCTAGGGGCATGCAAACACTGGATGATAAGGCTGATGCTTTGAAAATATGTTTTTAAAAAAATATTTCTTCAGCGTTTTAGTATTGAACATGAATAAAACACATCATATCTGTACCCGCCGCTCCATGTGCAACAAACACCTCCAACCAACCAATCTCCAGGCCTCCAGAGGCTCCACCAGGCCTCCAGAGGCTTGGCTGGAGCCCCGAGAGTAGGCAGAGATCCTGAGAGAAGAGTGGTCACAGTCAAGGTCCCAAGTACATACAGTGACATAGTCTATCATAGTCTATCATATGTTATATATGATTATCACGCCCGAAAACTCACATGGAACCAGGTCACATGGACCTGACTGGAAGACGACTTTTCCTCTACAACCCAGTGGTTTGTTTCAGGTTTCATAGTGAGTTTTCCGGAGTGTATCTCATGCAGTTAGCTATTTTGCAGAGGGTCGCTTCTTCCTTCTTTTCAGCCGTTTTCCGGACCGTACCGAGCGTATGGGATCGACGTCAGGCTGCTCCGAGTGGACGTACAGGGCGGACTTTCGAGGCACACGTAGCCGGATCCAGGCGTACCTTCTCAAAACCTACATCACAGTGCCTCCAATCACCTTCAGGTACCACTGGATCCCAGGCGGGCATATGACCCAAGATTTCGGGTGTACAGTACGTGTTTGGTCGTGACTGGCCTGACTGGCAATACGTACAATTTGCCTATGTGACCTCAAACATCCTCAAACGCATATTCCGCAGGTAGACCTGTAGATCCTCAAATTCCACAAAGCAAAGGTTTCTGAGTGGTCAGAGTCAATGTTACATGTCTCTCCACAGTCATAGCACCACGAATCCGCGAGCGTGCGCACACTGAAACAAAAACATATTGTGGGGACCGGGATACTTTCAGGATTTTCAGGGCCAACCTGTAGGTGCATTTCTGCGCAAAAAGACCAACACCACTCGAACCCCCAAACCCGCAGATGCCGCTTTCCTTCCTTCTTCGCCCCAGCCTCTCCGGCGGAGCGTTTCTCCGGCGACTCTCCGCGGTGGTCACTTCGGAGTGGAGCTCCTCCCAAGGCCTGAGGGCGCGCGTGAAGGACGCTACTAGTCGCTCCTAGCCTTACTACTAGGAGCAAGAAGCTACTAGGAGCAAAGGGCATCGCTACGAACGGAGCAAGGATGCTACTAGTAGTTAGGGCGCTGGCGACGCGCTGGTGGCGTCGCCTACGGCGCACCCCACCGGTGGTGTGACCATGGCTGCACCACGAAATCCATCACACATGGCCGCACGACGAATGAGGTTATAGATACGTTGTATGCGAGGTTGATCTCAGTGTGTGTGTGTGTGTGGGCGTGTGTTATTGTGTTTGTGCGAGCACCCGACTCTACGGGTGCTCGCTCTGGTGGCTGTTGGAGGAATAAACAAGTGGCATGGTGGTGACCGAGGATGCTGGTGGTGGTCCCGTTCTTTTTTTGGTATTATATTAGGATCCCGAAGCATGTCCAGCTTCCAGAAGCACCTCACGCACTCGTGGAACCTCACTCCGGTGGAGGCTCCGCTCGGATCCCGTGCCTCTTCTCATGTTCCATCTCTGGGGCTTCCCAGCCGGCTTGGCCGGCGCCTGGCGGGAGAGCGCACTGGCGAGCGCCGGTGGAGGGCGCTGGCACAGCCCTTCACAGCTCCACTCGGCCCTCTTTCAGATGCAAATGGACCATTAGCCCTCATGAGCCTTTTGAATCCTCGCCCTCTCCTCTCGGACGGGAGTACGGGAATTGTGAGTTGTCTTTCTCTTCTTATAACAATTAAGGAAAGCACATATTTTAAAAGTGCGAGAGCGAGCACGAGAGAGAGAGAGAGGGAGGGGGAGAAAGGACAAACAGTTGAGTGTTGAGAACCACATGTGATTGGAAAAGGACTGTGACTCCACATGCTCCACGTGCAAAACTCAGGTAAGTTGCATCCAAGTCGGTGGATCGCATCGGGTGGATCCAACTCGATTTCTCAAGATCAAGGTAATTAGTTGGATCCTGTTGGAACTTCCCAATCCACCCAAGCAACATCCACATGTACCAACCACGTCCAAGCCTCCCAAGCGGCACAAGGCAGGCCCCGCATACCCGTCCATGGCGGCAGTGAAACACCCCGGGCCCGCTGGAGCCCAAGACAGGTCAGGCAGCCCTGCGTCAGCGACCCCCCACGGGCCGCGGCCCTGCGGCGCTCATCCGGGTCTAGCTGGACAGGCCCAGCTCATCCTAGCCGCCACTCGGATCGGTTTGGAGGTCATCCCGGCGCTCCCACGGAGACACCGCTCCAAGGTGCAAAGACGTCCAGTCCCCGACGCACGTGTCAAGGTCTGAAAACTCCAGTGTCTGGAAGCTGCATTTCATACCCTCACAGTGGGCACCAAGAGCAAGTTCAGCGACCTCCACTGGGGATCTAGGACGGGCCCTGGCAGAAACAAACGATCTGCCAAGCAAAAGTGACACCGCTCCACACAAGCATCCTACGCTTGATCGAACTTATGTACTTCCACAAACAGAAGCCTAAGACTGAGACCCTGCCTCAAAGTCCAGTTTTTAAAACACAATAGGCTTTGGCCCTGGAGATGCCTTAAAAATCGGTGCACATCGGTGCTCCTGTCTCTCAACATTCATTGCAAGGTACGAGTATGAAGGGCCACAGGAGAAGAGCACAAGGGAACAGGACCAAAGGACCGAGTACCCTTAGAATCATTGGACCCTCCGAACTGGAGGGTTTTCACCCAGAACACAGGGCTTGGGACCCGAACCTTCACCGAACGGGTCGGGTCCGACTTCCCACGGTGCCCGGCCCCCCTCGCTCGGCCAAGTCCCCGCGCCAAGACCTGGAAGACGCGCCGCGCGGCGGTGAGCCGTTTCTGCTGCTGGAACCAGCCCGCCGCCACCTGCGACGAACGACACGACTCCGAACGACTCCCGGCGGTGAACGAAGACGCGAAGACGCTTCGGATGGGTGCAGCGGCTCCAGGGATGGATTCGGGTGGGGGTGACGGCAAGGTGAATTGGACATCGATTGATTCGTTCACTTTGATTCGCTGCGGCACCAAGTGTCACAAATCTGTTGCTGCGAAGATTGATCAGTTTGCCTCACCGATTCCTTCAGAGGGCTCCTTCACCAAAGAAGGACTCCTTCAGAGGGCTCCTCCTTAGCGCAACACCCTAGAAGCCATGAGGCTTCACCAAACAGCGCGCTCCCAACCGCCGCCGCTCCCAACCGCGCCTCCCGGGAGCGTTGAAGTCTGGACCGGTCGCCGACCGCCTGAGAGGTCGGAAGCAGCAGATCACAAGGATTCCATGCAAATGGATTGGGTCTCTCATTCGCTCAACCTTCTGGGGTGGCACTGTCCACCCACCCAATGATTTTCACGCTGCCCAAACGCTCATTGACCCTCAAACTGCTACATGTTTGAGGTCCAAAACCCTAGCTATGAGGGTCCAATGAGCCTTTGGGTGAGATGGAACCCACCAGCGAAGGACTCAGCAACTGATGTTGGGTCGTCGTGACTCGGTTAACGGCCTTCTTGTCTTCAGACCCGCCAAGTCCAGCAGTGGGGGCACCCCATGACCACCATCAAGGAGCCAAGATTTCATTCAAGCTCCTTGCAAGTGGCCCTCCTCGTGCTGGACGTGAGCCAGGAGTTCGCTCAAGATCGGACAGTAGTGACGCTTACACAATCCACCGCCCATCCAAGTCACTTGAATTCGGTCCGTAAGATTCAGTATGTGCACACGTCATACATGGGTCAGCCGGTCTAAAGTCACGACTCATGACGGTCTTTTTTTAGAAGTTTTCTTCGAAGGAGCGGCTTAAAGCTGTTTGACCAAAGCTCTACTATGGCATCAAGACAAAAGATTGAAATGTCATGGTGGGGATCACTCGAAGTAAAGTAATGTTCATGAACATCTACGCTTAACAGTCCCAAAGTCCGTCCTCCCGGTGTCGTCCACCGTCTACACGCCTGCGCTTGCGAGTGGCGCCGGCGCACCACGGTGGCCCGGCGTGCCCAGGCGTCGAAGACCAGCAGGAGGCGCAGTTGCGCACGGCGCTGGAGCTCTGCGACCTCAAACGTCTGGTCGCTTGGGGTCTGAGTCCCTGGGGGGTCTGGTCGCTTGTAAAAAGGTATTGAGGAATGAGGTGTCACATAACCAAAAAAGTGTGTTGCAGTGGTGAAGTGGTAGCAAGTGGTTGAGGTGATATATGGTGCTGAGATCAGATGATCCGGTGGAGATGTAGGAGGTTGACGATCCTCAGTGGAACACCCAAATCTCCCGAAGACTTGTGTGTGAAACGATTGGTTGCAAATGGTTGCAACTAGGTATATAACTAGGTCTGGCTACAGTACTGCAAGAGTTTTCTCCTGTTTTGCCTGCTCTTCAGCAGTGTCTCATACAAACATATTGAGTTGCACAGCCTTGCAATGCCTTGCATTCTTGAATCATCTAAAACTAACCTGAACCCTGAAAAGGGCCAGCACCTAAAAGTGTCTTCTGCAAATGCACATTTCTTTAGAGTCCAGGAGGGTTAAAGGTGTGCAATCGGAAGAACGTGCGTAGGGACGCGAATCCGCCTTCTTTTTCCGCCCTCTGAGGTGTCGTGGAGCTCGCGCTGATCTTCAGCCGCGCATGGATATTGGATTTATTGAGGTGTTGAACGTGCCGGTCCAGAAAGCAAGGATTGGACACTGGGGAACCTGAAGCAAAAGACTATACTTTACAGTGCTGTGCAGTGAGATTTATCACTAGCCTAAGCCCCCTTAAAAGCCTAAGACTATTGAGCTTCTCACCACCAATGAGGTCTGTGCAAACCAGGAGTGCAGCCAAGAGAAGCCCAGCACGACAAATCATTCACGCATGTCATGCTGGCTGCCATCAAACCTCCTCCTGGAGTGTGCAGGGCCACAAGTGGCCAGCCGGGCTCGCCGAGCACAGGCCGGGCAAGCAATCATCTTCCCAAATGCCAGGCCCTATGCACTATCTTCACCACGAGGAAGCCAACTTGCACCAACACAAACACACCTACACTGAAAAGGGCATCTAAATCAATTCAACATTCAAAAGAATCCATATGTTCTTTGGCGCCGTCGTTTGAATGGACATGGGCTGTCATGTAACGCTAGCTCGATGGCCAACTCCAACGAGAAAAGCCAGGTCGGTCCCAAAACCCAAGCGCAGTCGGCGGATTGTCGGTCAAACATCACCTCCGCACTGATCCACCAACACGTTGGATGTCTCTTCAAATCTACACTACAAAATTCCCCAAATAGATCGAACCGGTGTCCAAATGTGTAATACATGTTTAACTGGGCGGGATTTACTTTTCTATTATGTTCTATCTATTTGGGGACCACTATAACTCGTATTGTCTATATTAACTATATACTGTATATATATAAATATTGATGTTGGGCTAGAACAGTAAGCTCTGACCAGTGGTGACTCCACCATTTTGTAACACCACGGCATCGTCCAGTCTGTAACCCGCCAAATTTGAGCCCAACTTTGACTCTCCCCAAACCTCCAGCTATGTTCTTTCCCTGGCCTATGGATCCAAATGCAACCCTCTGAGAGGGTAACTGTCCAAGGATAACTGGAGAAACTTTATATCTAGGCTTGGAGGGTCCAAATATCTTCTGTGTGGATCCCCTCTTGGAGTTCTCTAGGGAACCGCATCAACAAGAGCCTCCGCTGGGCGCCTCCGCTCAGCCTCATCACCTCTCGCGTGACTGCCGCGCCCGTGTCCGCGCCCAGCGCTGCAACAGCTCAGCAGCGTTACTGCCCAACAGGCGCCGGAGGAGATCCATCGCAGAGGACGTGTCCTGCAGCCGGGGTGCAGCCGCCGTGGAGGCGGTTTGGTGTAGTTCTGGGACCGCTGGGACTGTGGGTTGGTCGCTCTAATTTGCAGGTTGGGTGCAGTGGGTCCAATCAGAAACAAACACAGTCAAAACCGAAGGGGAAGACTGGACTGGATTGAGTGATCAAAGTTTGTTGGGGCAGCTGGAAGACTGGTGGAGAGCTTGATTTAAGATGGAACACATGGAACATCAAACCTGGGCCAACAACAAATTCCATTCGTCCTTCCCCGCTTGGGGTGCTCAAAGAGGCAACGAATCTGAAGAGCAGGGACACGACTCGACCAGTGTTTCCCGTATTGCCAGTCTGCATCCCATCCTGTACACTACATAGATGTTGCATGATTTTGCATGGTGGATCCGATGGCAAACCTAGAGTCTACAAAAGATGCCAACGCTGAACCAGCAAACGTCCCTGCCACTTTAACCATCTTTGGATCGAGAGGTGATGAGTTGGCATGTGCTAAGTTTCCTCACAGGAACTTGACCCAACCCTGGGAAAATGCGGGCCTCCTTGCGGCAAATCAGCCAAATCGCGCGACGCAGCAACCTCGAACTGTTAGGATCAACAAGCTGGTGTGAGGATTGATCTGAACCATTGTCAACCATCATCCCCAGGAAGGCTGCCCTATACCCTAGGGCCCTAGGGCTCCAAGTACCTCAGAAGGTATCTGGACCCTCTGAACCCACCCCAGTCCCACCTTCTCAGAAGGTACGACTGGAGCCCAAGGGATACTAAAGCCACATCGATTACATGATCTCATCTTTTCTGGACCTATGGACCGCTCCGTGGCGCGGTGCCGTGGAGTCCTCCTTTTTGGGGGTGCTTCCTGTGTCAAACCGAAGAGAAACGTCGAGAATATGGGTTACTTTTTTTGGGGGGAGTCCTTTCTCAAAACACAGGAGGCTCATGCTGAATGCGCAGTGGGCACTAGGCCGGCAGTGGGAAAGCCCCACACTACATGTTGAAAACGAGAAATGGTGAGAATTGCAGGAAGATCCTCAGGCTTGGAAGATCATGGAAAAATCATGAAATCCACCGGTTCCTCTAGGTCGGTTTTGAGGTTCGTTCTGAACCTGGGTGTCCAACAGGCACTCTCTAACCCTGCGCCCTGCACCCTGGGCTTCGCCGCTCGTTGCATTGGACTTGCTTCGGGCACTCGATGAGGAGATATCCCACATCCTTGACCTGGGAATGGTGCAAACAGGAATAGTTACTTACATATCTTACATTGGGC